ATGTCTTAAAAAAGTCAGACAATTAGTTTATTGTGCATTCAAATATGTTACGAAATTTACAACGATTATGATTACTAAACAGGACTGAAAAAATATACCTCAACACTTATTTAATGTCTGATTCCTTGGATGCTAAGAAATATTGATCAATTTATTATTATTTATTCATACTTTATTGAGTAATGAAGAATAAGGAATAATTTCTCATATAAAATACATCCAGCTAACATTAATAAAACCATTTATAACTTTTAAATTACGCACATTATATTTTTGACAGACTTCAATTTGTTTATGTATTTATTATTTATATATAAACTTCATGTGGAAATTGCTTAATATACATCGATTGAAAAGTTAATATCATTTGAAAATATAATCGCTTTAACAAGGACGTGATAAAATAGTAGTTTTGGTTGTTGGAGCTCCTATTAATAATATTGAATAGTGTTTAATTGAAAAATAAATGTATTCGTCTATTACCGATACAATATTTAAATATTCAAAATATTTACCTGATTTTTATTATAATTAAGTAGCTTTTAAGTCCATTACGTGGCTCTTTATGTCCATTTTGGTTTTATTTTTCTTTGAGCAGATGACAGCCAAATGTGAGAAACCCAAGGACGCAAAACCTAAATTTGACACTACTTTCTATGCAAGCTATCATCCTTCTGAATTTGACACCCTTGATTACCAAACATCTGAAAAAACTTATTCAATTGGTTTTTAACTAACCGTCTCTCTTTGAACAACTCTAAATCACAAAGTGTTAATTTTACTCTAAGAAATAACACTTGTGTCGAAAACGTTGCTCTACCACAATGTGTAACCGGAGCGAAGTTTTCTGGGGATATATATTGCGATGCAGGATTAACCTGGGAATAACATATAGTTAATCTATCGAAAAAGCTTTCCCGACAACTTTTTCTCTTCAGGAACCTTGTACAAGTGACTTCCAGGGAAACTATTTTAACAGCTTATCATAGTAATTTTCATTCTCATCTGACATATGCTATTCTCTCCTGGGGTCACTCTTGTCATATCGATAAAGTGTTTGCACAACAAAGAAAGTGTGTTCGTATTATCTCTGGGCTCTCTTATAGAGCAGATTGTAGAAACTCCTTTAGAATTTTAAAAATTTTAACTTTACCTTGTGTATACATTATGCAGTGTCTATTGCACATTTAACAAAATCTTAGCCAATACAATACTTAGCGCATGTAGATTTTCGCAATTATCCCACCAGATTTAACAATAATCTTATACCAGAATTTAGCCGTCTTGAGAGATCCAGAAATGGCAATGGAAATGGTATTTAGCCATAAAATTCTACAACTTAGTGCCAGCTAGAATAAATGCTCTTAATATTCATCAGTTTAAGGCAAAAATTAAGAGTTACCTTATAGTGAATGCTTTTTTTACATATGAGGAGTATTTTGCTTCCAATTTTAATTTGTTGTAATTTTTAACAGTATAATTTAAAACAATGTATCTATGTTTTGTGTTTATATTTATGTGTGCATATTAACTATATTGACATTTACTTTATTTTATTTGTCTTGTAAAAAATACTTATGTATTAATTTATTACCAATAAACCATCTATCTATCTAACTATAGAGAATGTATCGTGGCAAAGAAAATACAAAAAATAAAAGTTAAATGTAACCTATTTTCTCTGAAGCTGAATTTTCAGGTGCTTATGAAGACAAGAATCGCAGAAATAATGAATTTTCTTTATTCACTTCATCTTGTATATTCCCTTCTTCTAACAACACAACTTTCGAACGACAGACAGTACTTGTGTGTTCCACGTCCTTACAACTGAAACATTGCCATGCTTTGGCTGAACATTTTGATGAATCATGTTTTCTACCACATCTAAAGACTTATATTGGACATAACTTCTACTAGCTTGATGACCAGAGTCATTTTTCTTCTTTATCTAACTTTTTGTTAATTGCAGCCCCATTTTCCGGTTCCATCTTTCTAACTTAACCTTGAATCAGACCGGAATCAGACCGCATACATGAAAATTAACGGAGAAGAAACAGATCACATAAAAATGCTACATGGAGTTAGACAGGGATGTATCCTATCGCCGTTGATATTTAATATGTACTCAGAGAAAATTTTTAACGAGGCTCTTTACGGAATAGACGAAGGCATCCTTCTAAATGGTGAAAGAGTAAACAGTGTTAGATATGCCGACGACACCATGGTGATAGCAGACAGTTTAGAGGGACTTCAGAGGCTAATGGACAGAATAAACGAGTACAGTTAACAGTACGGACTAAACATTAATACCCACAAAGCGAAACAAATGATAATCAGCAAGGAGAAGATAAACGGGGCTCATCTATACATTAATGGGACGCAGATAGAGCGAGTAAAACAGTATTGCTACCTGGGAACTATTATAAACGAACAGTGGAGCAATGTACAGGAAATAAAGTGCCGCATAGGAAAGGCAAGAACGGTCTTTAATAAAATGAGCGCCATCAAAAGTCACAATAGATCTCTAGATACAAAAATGAGACATTTGAGATGCTATGTCTCCTCTGTTATGTTGTACGGGGCGGAGGAATGGACGCTTACAGACACCACTATTAAAAAACTGGAAGCGTTTGAGATGTGGTTTTATAGAAGAATGCTGAGAATATCATGGACAGCAATCATCACGAATAAGGAAGTTCTAGGAAAAATGAAGAAGGAACCAGAGATTGTGTTTACGATCAAACGCATAAAATTGCAATATATGGGACACGTTATGAGAAATCAGCACCGTTACTCCCTGCTACAGTCTATATTGCAAGGTTAAGTCAAAGGTAAGCGAGAACCCGGTAGAAGGAGAATATCATGGCTGCGGAATTTAAGAACATGGTTTAAGAAAACCTCAACGGAGCTGTTTCTAGCCGCAGTGAGCAAGGTTATGATTGCCAATATGATTTCCAACATCCGAAACGGATAGGAACCAGAAGAAGAAGAACTTAACCTTTTGTAAGTTTTAATTACAATGCTATCCCATACGCTCTTTCAAAGGAAATATCATCTTCGCCAGGAGTTTACGTTCTATTGTGACTGATCGTACACCACATACAAGTCTGTCTCTGAGAGGGTCTTTCATTGACGAAATTGATAATATTGGGCCACACATTTTAGTTTTGACACAAAACTTTTAATATGTGCCTGCGGCTCTTGATATGTGTTCTAAAATTTATACCTTTCAGCGATAACTAACCGCTTTGGCCTATAATGTTCAGTCAGGACTCTTTTTAACACCTTCAATGTTTTTGAAGTTAGTAGTTCTGGTGCTAGTAAGTAGTTTAAGACAGTGTAAACTTCTTTACCAATTAGAATAATCAATAATGGAACTTTCTTGTCTTCTTTCACTACATTACATAAAAAAATTGCTTAAGTCTCTCGAGATAATAATAAAAATAAAATAAAATAAAAATAAAAACGTTTATCGCCTTAAAAATATATGTACACATCAAACTTAAATAAAATTTTAGCCTCCTTTGTTCGGCGTACCGCTTTTGCACCGCCAGCGTTTGTTGCTTCTTCCTCTCGGCTCCTGGATTTTCCTCGGTCGTGTCCTCGTCTGCTTCTGTAGGTACTTGTATCGGCAAACGTACCTACTTCCCTGCATGCCTGGTTTTCTAAACCCTGATCAGGTGGTCGATCAGTCTATGTTTGGATCTAAACATCCTCTGGATCCTGTTCTTCTCGAGGATGTCCCTGGTCTTACGTAGTCGTCGTGTGGCCTGGTTGAAGAACCACCTGGTTCTATTCTCAGCCACCTCCCTCAGTGGCGTGTATCCTAGTCTGTTCTTAATTGTCGCGTTGGTAACTCTATCCTCCCATGATGCTTCGTCGATGATTCGGTAGCATGATGTTTCAGTTGATTCTAACTTTTTCCAGTGTGATTCCGCAATGGAGCTCCACACTGGTACAGCATACAGAATCACCGACCTAACATATGCTTGGTAGAGTTGAATTTTCTTCGCCTTCGAAAGTGGACTCGGCCTAAAAATGAAAGGAAGTATTAGTTTTTTAGCTGCATTAGCTTTTACCTTTGTTTTTTGTGTATGCACCCGGAAGTTAAGTCTTCTGTCGGGGTGGACTCCTAAGTATTTGACCGTCTTTGATTCCTGAATTCTGTTGCCTCCTACTGTGATCTCGTTCAGTGGTGCTCGGTTGTCCTAGGTGAATACGATGAACTGCGTCTTTTCTGCGTTGATCTTGATTTTCCATTTTTCCGTGTAGTCCGTGATTTTTCCCAAGTGGTTCTCCATGTCATCTATGATTCTTCTTTCGTCTTTTCCGGATGCATATACAGGTGTGTCGTCTGCATACAGGGCTGTAGAAGTCCTTCGATCTGTTGGAAGGTCTGAAACAAAAATGTTATATAATATAGGTGATAAAATGCTGCCCTGAGGCATTCCTTCCTGGATTTCTTGGATCGTCGATATCTTTTGGTGAGCTGAAACTTGGAATGTTCTATTGGATAGATACATGTCGCAGATGTTGATGAGGTAGTGTGGAAGTCTAGCCTTGTCCATCTTGAAGATTAGTGTCTTCTTCCAAACCGTGTCGTATGCTTTTTCTATGTCCAGTATGGCTAATGCTCTCGAGATAAGACGTGATATCACTTTTAGCAGGATTGAATTGTACAATGACCCCAGTTAACGACATTTTTCGACTTTTACCTAGATTCTTTCTGTGACTTGTCACCAAATATGTTGTGTATTTATGAAGCACAGACTAACAAAACATAACTATTTATTTACTTATAAAACGGTTACATAGGTATAACTCAAATAATTATAGCAGCTTGGACATTCTAAGCTGCTCAACGACATCACATAAGCCCACCCAAGTCAGTCTAATTTTTTCGAAGTGTCTACTGCTCCGATGCAGGATTAATATTTTTGTATTAATTTTTTTTAATATTTATACCTAACGTCTCTCTATGAATACGTTTTTGTTACAGCCTCGTACCGGATTCACAAAAGAGCCCACGTCACAGCCTGGTGCCCAACGACCACTTCCGTTGCCCATCAAAAAACAACCTCTCCTCCGATTTCGTCCTTAGTCCTAGAAACAGCATTGCGGTAGATTTTAACAGAAGTCCCAGGAACAGTCTGGTACCTGATTACAACAGAAGTCCGCGCCACAGTTTAACCCCAGAAAGTAATATTCACGGTTCCAAATTAAATGTCGCTGAGTTCAACAGGAGCCCAAGAAATAGTTTAGTGCCGGATAGTTCCCGGGTGTCCAGAAGGAGTTTGTCTGAATCTATAAATTGGAGGCCAGATGAGGGTAAGTACCTAACGGTTTTTTATTATCTAACTTATCTAAATTTTTTAGACCGAAATAAGAAAATATATGTGAAAATTATAAAAATATACAGGGTGAGTCATAACTATTGAGACATAGACTAAGGACAGGTTATCTGGACCAAAATATGGCCATTGGGCCAAATATGCCTTAATAAAATGTTGCTGAGAAAAAAGATACAGGGTGTTAAAGTGGAAATTAAAAATTTTATTTTTGGCTATAACTTTTATGTTTGTAAACATTTATGTATAAAAGTTTAGAGCTGAGTACTATTAAATATCGGAAATTATAATTTGATGCATACTTTAATATATCTAATAGAGGGCGCCACATATGCCACATACGTGGCATACATTTACACTTAACTTTTTTGTTCTTCAAGTTACTGGTATTCTTGATAAAAAATATTAAAGATACATTATTTTAATATAAAAAGGTATAACTGTTAATAACTTTAAAACTCAACAGTTTTCGAGATAATTGCATTTTACGAATCAACTACATAATTCTGATTTAACGCAATTACTCCAGGCAATGAAAGAAAAATAGATAAAATTCTTTCAATAAATCAATAACATCATTTTATAAAAAATGGAAATAAATCTCGACATTCAAATTGCAAGGTAATTGGCATATCCGAAAAAAAGAATTATCAATGGTTCCAAACCATAGGACATACATTTTAAATATGAATTTTGAATGATATTTTACAGATATGCGAATTACCTTTCAATTTAAATGGTGAGATTTATGTACATTTTTTATAAAATTATTTTATTGATTTATTGGAAGAATTGTCATCAAACTTAAGGCGAAATATGAGGTTTGTACAAGATGGTACACCATTACATTACAGAGAAAGCGGGGTGGACAGCATTTAAATACACTTTCCTGAACGTTGGATTGTTCGTAGTAGTCATATTCTTGTGGTAAGACAATAATAATTATTTAATTCATGAAAATTTCAAAAAATTGCTTATTATTATACTTAAAACAACTATAATAAATACTGCAGCAGTTTCTTCAGAACCAATGATGCTATTTAATATGAGACTATATTTTATGGAATGTATTGACAAATGAATTAAAGAAAATGGTGGACATATCGAACACTTACTTTGACAAACAGTTAATGTTATTTAATTTAACTATTTTTTAATTTAGTTTGTAAATAAAATGTTTTGATTATGACTTTAATTTAATACAAAATGTAAAATGTTTGATGTAAAATCCAATTATTTTGTTATTTTATCAAATCCTATTATTATTTATCCTGCTGATATGTTTATTTTATTTAATATTTCGTTAACTATTGACTTTATTAAAGGTATTTTATAACAAAATTCAGAAGTATTGATGTTTTTATCTATTTTTCTTTCATTGCCTGGAGTAATTGCGTTAAATCAGAATTATGTAGTTGATTTGTAAAATGCGATTACCTCGAAAACTGTTGAGTTTTGAAGTTATTAACAAGTATACTTTTTTTTGTTTAAATCATGTATCTTTAATATTTTTTATCAAGAATACCAATAGCTTAGATATATTAAAATATGCATCAAATTATAATTTAACATGAAAGTTATAGCCAAAAATAAAATTTTTAATTTCCACTTTAACACCCTGTATCTTTTTTCTCAGCAATATTTTATTAAGGCATATTTAGCCCAATAGCCATATTTTGGTCCAAATAACCTGTCCTTAGTCTATGCCCAATAGTTATGACTCACCCTGTATAGCTCCATTTATATGTTTCTAAAACAAGAATAATAAATCGATCTAATGATGGTTGACTAACGAAGAAATAATAATAAGAGTTGACTAATATCTACAGAAAAATATTTTAACACGATAACAGATATTTTTTTCGCCCTTAAATCAAATTATGTAGGTCCTTATGCCAACTAAAGTGAATACTATACTATACTATATACTATACTGTACTATACTATATACTATAATATACTATACTATTCTACACTTCTTCTACACCATTCTACACCGAGAAATTAAAGCACCACCTCAATAAATTAATTTTATTTGTAAACACGCAAAGAATAAAAAATACAACTTCACCAGATTTATACTACATTTTATTATTAATTATAACAATTTCTCTAATCATCAGAAAATGTTGCAATACAGGAGAAAAAAAAATGGAAAATTTTCTCCAAATCTGGATCAGCCTCTCTCCCAATTCCAGTAAGTTGTTCGGTTGGATCGGTGTCGCTCTTAATCGCCTACCAAGGATATACCAGAGATTTTTAATCGGATTTAAATCCGGACTATGTGCTGGCCATTCCACAGCGTTAACTTATACTTCTAGATAATTTCTGACGATCTGTGCAGCGTGAGGTCTGGCATTATTTTGCATTAGTAAGAAATTTTCACCGATATAAGGAGCGAATGGTACTACATGTTGCTCCAGGTTCTCCAATATGTACCTTTCAGCTGTAACAGTGGCATACTAGGTCCGTACGTGCGGTCAAAGAAATACCACCCCACACCACAACGGATCCTCTACCAAAAAATGTGGTGTGTGAGAAGTTACATTGCGCATATTGTTCGTTGAGTTGTAGCAACACACGAACACGTATGTCGTTATTGCATAAACAAAATCGGGATTCATCAGTAAATAGCATTCGTTCCCAGTCAGCGTCTAATCAATTAACGTGTTCTCTGTCAAAATGTAGTCTCCTCCTTCGATGCTCTGCAGTTAATAGAGGACCTCGGGCGACAATGCTAGGTGTTAAGTTGTATTCTCTAAATCACTGGCGAACAGTTTCAGTACTAATTTGTATAGCATGCACGTCTCGAAGATGAATTTGTAGACTTAGATGTGTTACAAAACTAGTGTTGCCCAAATGCAAGAACAAGACGAGACTTAGACAGTCTTGGTCTTGGTCTTGCGCCGATACACCTGGTCTTGGTCTTGGTCTTGGTATTGCACTCTCGGTCTTGGTCTTGGTCTTCGTCTTGCAAGTCTTGCAGTTACCCATTAGCCTATTGCTATTAATTAAACGTTAATGTAAATCTTTGAACAACCTAACAGAGCAAGTACATTTTAAGCTTGAATTAACATAGCCATAATAAAGACCAACCAAATTATTAAATGTCTAAACAACTGACACCGAGTAGGTTTTGAAGCCACGATCTAAGCGATCCGTGCCTATGCTATAACTAACTCAGCTATCTACCATGCCCCACGGAAGTCAATCTGTTTCTTAATAAACGTTTGCATTTAATAAGCTTACATGTGCTGAAACATTGTTAAAACACAAAAAAAAACAAATTAATGACATAAACTTGACTGTATTTTAAAGAACATTATCTGCCTAGAAAGAGATTGATGGACCCCCACCATATATGAAATGGAAATCTTAAAAAAGATTTATTTTCACAGATTCTTTAGGTGATAAGATAACAAACTTTAATCCACATATTACAGCAACATAAATGTTGTTCACAATCTAAGTTAGCTCTACTTTTATATAAAAACTAACTTGAAAAAAATAAAGAGTAAGTAAAAAAGCAATGATAACCAAAAGAACCCTTTTAATTTTAAGGAGATATCAACTTAATAAATACATTAATTTACCAAAATAAAGTAGTAGGTACATAATATATGTAATTAATTACTATTTAACTGGGAATAAGCCACAATTAATGGTTAAAATATGTTTATTGACGTTTTAATTTCCACTTCGATACATATCAATAATATATGTAATTGGTCATATGGTAAGAAGAAAATTGTTTTACATGTCCACTTTTTCCAGCGGTTATTAAAAAGCTTGTGGTATCTCCACCGAATTTTGGGTTGTTTTCAGGAAGAAATATTTGTAAATCCTTTTTGTGAAAAAATATTAGATGCTTCCTTAAACCTGACGTGTTTTTGTTTTTAATTTTTATTTCAACCTTTCTATGTAAGCACAATTTACACAAAGCAATTTGGGATGCATGAATTATTTCGAAAAACTCATCAAATTTGCTTTTAGGTCTTTTAGATCTACAATTCCAACGCTCACTACTCCGACTAGAACTATTTGAATCTTTGTCCCTCATGTCAAATTGTAAACTTTAATTGAAATGAAGTTTAATGATCTCGAAAAAGTAACTACTACTAGTTAATTACTATTTAACTGGGAATAAGCCACAATTAAAGGGTAAAATACGTTTATTGACGTTTCAATTTCCACTTCGGAAATTGTTCTCAAAATACAAACAGTAAATTTACTGTTATGGCAATAAATTCTTCCTGTTTACTATTCATATCTACTTCTTGAATCTCCTGAACTTCTCTTATGATCCTGTTGTTACACATTTTCTCGAAATGGTTTTAATACAAACACTTATTACACATTTTACCAAATGCTGGATACCTTCGCAACTCATGATCACGACCACATTTTCTGCACTGACCACTTTTCCTTGAGTTTTCCTCCTGTTCCCATCTTTAGCTTCTTCCAGTATTAAAGTTGTTATTTGAAGCTTTTTCTCTTGCTGTTTGATTATCATATCCCCCTTTTACAGAATGAACATTAAGTGTTTGACTTAACTGAACTTCTTTAAACTGTATTTTTAAAATTGCACATGCTCTATTGTCTTTTGTAAGGTTCACTCATGATTCTGTAACATTTTTATTGTAGATCTTGATTGATTGTTCCAAAAACTAGTCTATCCCTGATCATTCAGTCTAGAACATGTCCAAATTCACAATTTTTTGCTAATTTATGCAAGTCAGTTAGGTAAGTATCAAATAACACTCCTTCCTCTTGTTTTGTATTGTAGAATAAAAATCTTTCGCAGATCACATTCTTTTTAGGGGTAAGGTAATTCTCTAATTCACCCGATACTGTATCATATGATTTTCTCTGTGCATTCGTTAACTTTAAGGTGTTTCATCCCATCAAGTCCTTCATCTCCCAAAAAATTTAACAGTAGAGCAATTTTTACTGTATCTTCCTTTCTGACCTTTTCACTGG